TTTAATAATCTTAAAAAAATGGGATAAGGTTAGCTTTGTTCTATTAATTTTATTTTCAAAAATATACACATATTTTAAAAAATCATCTTTAAATCCATATGCACTATCTTTACATTTTTAGGTAATTGTATGTCGATTTAAATTCTGATTCCAAGTAAATAGTAATAATATTTTTTCTTATATTTACTGATTCTTAGATAAAAATGTCCATATTATTAAGAAAACTGAAAGGGGTAAATATAAATATCTTGTTTTAATAAAAGTGGTACAAAAGTTATGACGGTCAGTGTGGCACTTGTGCCGTTTTGTCGACAATGCGCGCGTTCCCTCTCTCGCACTCACGAAAGTACTCTCACACACACAGCCGCACCTTACACAGCACACGAAAATTTGCAACACACATACAGACAAAGTGGCTCTCTCACTCATGCTCTCCTTTTTTTCTCTTTCTCCCTCTTCTCTTTTTTTCTGTTTTTAGTGGTTGTGCAAGAAGAAGCAGCAACAATCAGGCAAAAAATACCTGAAAAAAAATAAACGGTAAAACGAAGAAGTGGCGACACACACACAAACACAACCGAAGAGTGCCCGCTAAAAAGTTTATTAAGTAAAAATCCAAAAGTTAAAGCACACAGTGCGCTTCATTCCCCATTCGCAAAAGCCAAAGTCAAAATATATGTTTTATTAAAAATGGTGGAAGTAATAGAGCGGCGGAGAACGGCTGCGTGAGCCCAAAGCGCGGCCAATTAAAAAACAACAACAGCAGTAGCAGCAGCCGCTAAAGAAGAAGAAGCAGAAACTGAACCGAAAGAGGAGGAAACAGCAAGAGCCTCGAAAAAGTACATAAAAAAAGTATAAAATTTAAATAAGTTGGAAGTCGTGGTCGGTAGACAAAAAGAGAAATAGCGACGAAAAAGAGATTCGAGAAAAGCCAAACTTAAACCGAAAACCACCTTATTCAGTCGCAACAATAACAATAGCAGCAATTACTCCACCAGCAGCATCCAAACATCATCACACAAAACCCACAAAATGTACGGCAAATCAAAGACATCGGCGGTTCCATCGGACGCCCAGGCCCGCGAAAAGTTGGCCCTGTACGTGTACGAATATCTGCTGCACGTTGGCGCTCAGAAGGCAGCACAGACATTCCTCTCAGAGATCCGATGGGAGAAGAACATAACGCTGGGCGAGCCGCCGGGATTCCTGCACACCTGGTGGTGCGTCTTCTGGGACCTGTACTGTGCGGCCCCGGAGCGCCGCGATCAGTGCGATCACAGCTCGGAGGCGAAGGCCTTCCACGACTACGGCTTTGTCAGTTCCGGCTATGGTGTGAACGGAATTGGACCAGGTGGCCCGCACAATGCAGGCGGACCAGCGCCCAGTCCTCTAGGACAGATGCCGCCCGGCGGAGATGGTGGTCCAATGGGTCCCGGCGGACCGATGGGTCCCAATTTCTTCCCCAACTCCACGATGCGACCGTCGCCGCCAACGCACGCCTCCAGTCCGCAGCCGCCTCCATCGCAGATGATGCCAGGCCAGCCACCGTTCATGGGAGGACCACGATACCCGGGCGGACCGCGTCCCGGCGTGCGTATGCAGGGCATGGGCAATGAGTTCAACGGACCGCCCGGCCAGCCCATGATGCCCAACAGCATGGATCCCACACGACCAGGTGGTGGGATGGGACCGATGAATCCGCGCATGAATCCGCCACGCGGACCCGGCGGCATGGGACCCATGGGCTACGGCGGACCAGGGGGAATGCGCGGTCCGGCACCCGGACCCGGTGGAATGCCGCCCATGGGCATGGGTGGAGCGGGTGGCAGACCTCCACAATGGCAGCCCAATGCTTCAGCGCCCTTGAACGCGTACTCATCGTCATCGCCAGGAAACTATGGACCCGGACCCGGCTCCAATGGACCGCCGGGGCCGGGAACGCCCATCATGCCGTCGCCGCAGGATAACACGCAGGGCGGACCAGTGGGTGGACCCGGCGACAGCATGTATGCCCTGATGAAGCCCGAATTTCCGATGGGCGGCGGACCTGATGGCGGAGGAGGTGGAGGCGGACCCGGAGGCATGGGTCCAATGGGCGGCGGGCCCAACTCGATGGGCCCCGTACTTAATGGTGGCGGCGGACCCGACGGCTCCGGCCTGGACGGGATGAAGAATTCGCCAGCCAACGGCGGACCTGGGACGCCGCGCGAGGACTCCGGCAGCGGCATGGGCGACTACAATCTGGGCGGATTCGGTGGACCCGGCGAAAACGATCAGACGGAATCGGCGGCCATTCTGAAGATCAAGGAGAGCATGCACGAGGAGGCCAAGCGGTTCGAGAAAGACACAGATCATCCGGACTACTTCATGCCATAACAACATCACCAGCAGCATCAGCAGCATCTCAACACGGTGGCAGCCGCTGTGGCAGCTGTGGTGGCGGCTGCAGCGTCCAACGGATCGGCGGGCAGCACCTCGGCCGCTTCCATAGCGGCTGCTGCTCTTGGGGCCGCCGCCTCTAATCTGCTCAGCAATGGCAACAACAATTTCTGAAGGCAAAACCCACATAACACCACACACAGCAAATAAGAACGCGGTAGTAGAAATCCTTGATACATAAGCATAAAGTAATTAACATTTAACGCATGTATGAGAAATAGAGAAAAGCGAAACAAAAAAAGGCCCTTAAATATAATAGACTAAACAGCAAATGTAAAATTGTGAAAGGATCAAACGGACTTATAGAAGCGCTCTGTCGCCACTCACACTGCCCTTTGCCCTGAACTTCTCGTCGTTGATTTTAGATAAGTTCTTTTCGTTGTTGTATTTTATGCTTAATTTTAGTTTTTGGTCGAAAGTTCAACTCACAAGAAAGTACCGAAAGTCAGGAAAAGGCCACAGTGCAGTGGATGACAGAACGTAAGTGCTTACCAGCATTACTCAAAATAATACTTAAAAGTAAAAAGAAAAAGAAAATCCAAGCACGCAAAAACAGTAATGTCAATAAACAAGCAAAAACAGTCGATCTTCTACAAGTCGAACTAGAACTAGAATCACAAGTTAAATAACTTGAAGTTCTGTTTATGGACCGAAGATGTAACATTTCGACTGTATACTAAAATAAATGTAAAAAATGTATGCAACAAGTTAGGTGAGCCTTGCGTTTAGTTTAGTTGTTGCAAACAATCACCTCACACAAAACTTCACCAGATCCATTCACCTGTACCCTATTGATACACATTCACTTGCTTATATAGAAAACCCAAATCATAATCGCAGATCAATTGTTTGTTAAGCAAAGCAAGTATATGAATGGAATATTTATAATCATATGCATAATACCTAGATGAGTATATAGTTAGCATTATTGGACTTGTATATGGATAGTCTGTAACCCACACTCATACACAGAACTCTTTTTGAACTGCTGCATTTTGCAAATGGGCAATGTCAGATCGTTTCGCTTTGCCCAAATTTTATTCTTTTTAATTCTCATTTTAGAAATTGTAACCTGGCACTTTGTGGTCGTTCCTTTACCTTTCTATTCTTTCTGTGCTTGTTTGTTTGTTCAAAACGTATTTGTTGTATTGTTTCGTGTATTTTTGTTTCTCTCATTTGTCGTATGTGTATGTATGTATTTATATTTTAACCAAACAACTAAAATGAACATCGTTATTTAAGTTCCTTCCAACGGCGAGCAATACCATTTGTATGAGATATGACACGATCTGTACAATTTCCCTCACTTTAAAGAGCGGCAACAGTTTTGCACTCGTTTCGATTTCCTCACGGCATTGTGTGTGCATTAGGGCAGCGAAAGAATAATATATAGAAAGCTATATGTAAACATTTTATATAGACAGAAACCGATACAGAAGTAGCCTATTGTATGCACTAATTTATTGCAAAATAGCTACGCGATTAACTCTAAGAATTAACTGTTTAATATGCATATGAAGAATATATATTTCGTAAAGGCAGCAACAATTGTAGAAACATAACCTAAAGAATAGATTACTTCAAAATATCACACTTAACTTGAATGCTGTACAAACAAAAGTCTTAAAGTACATAAAATATAAATAAAGCTATATACACATTGTATATGTCTGTGCTTGCATCCTTTTACCGATACAGCACATTATGAATTCATTGAAGAAACCAACCAACCCCTATGGTAGCGTTAGATTCGAAACTAATTTTTAAGTCCAGCAACATAAACAAATCAAAAGGAATATACATAAAGAAGCGAATGAAATTTCTTTATAACAAACACACACATTAACACCACCACACACAAACACACGAATCAATTGATAAAATAATTAAGCAAGTAAAAATGAAAAAAATCTATTTTAAATATTGTATATGTTTAATGTGTCGGAATTTAAAATATGAATGAGAGGAGTGGAGCAAATTATAGTATGTGCTGCATGAATTATATCTAAATTATAGTATGAAACGCCGCATCTGCGATGCGTCAAGCGAGAAAACTTAAATAGTAACTAAGTTAAATTTATTTACTAACGCTTATGGTTTGAGCGTTTCAATTGCTGGATCTATATAAATCACAAAATCTATATATAATGGAGCGGAATTAAGTAAACAAAAGTATAAAACGCCCAAACCACAAATAACAAAAAACAAAAAAATTGCAAAAAGTAACACAGAAAAATCGAAAAAAAAAATGAAGGAAATACAAAAAACCGATTGAATATGGAAATATGTTTGAATAAGTATTTTAGTGTTAATTATACAATTTACAAGTACACAACACAAACAAAACCACAACAATATAATATAAAATGAAATAAAGTTTTAAAACAATATTTGTAAAAAGTAAAATAGAAGTAAAAGTGTTATTTATAGATATGTGTGGGATTTAGGTTATCAAAACTGGATAATTTAGACTATCGTTTCAATAATACATTTTTTATAGATATCCATTTTAAAGATTAGCTCGGTTAGGCTATTTTTAGAAAAGTAAATCTACCATCTGGTAGATAATAGTCTTGTTATTTGCAATCGCAGCACCATCATTTGGACTCGATCTCCTGATGGCATACATCAAAAAGATTTTAGTTCCCGCTGGCATTAATTGAACAATTTTGCAGTAAGCGTGTGTGTCCGGCTATCTGGCCTGGCTGTGCTTCTGGCCGAGACAATTGGTCGGGCTCACGCACATGGCTAATGAATGGACACCACCGGCCATTCCGGAAAGCAAACGGGTGAGGAATTTGTTGTCGGGGCAACCGGCCGTTCAATTTGACCCATACAAATTGAGATGGCTAATACACACTCGCTGGACACTCGGACCGTGTTGGGGTTGCGCTTGACTCTACACAAAATCGATAGGTTGGAGCACTGCAAGCATAGCGAACTGCTCATGTCGTCCGCTGGAAATAAAAATTAGGAAATCGAGCGAGGCCATTAATTTTATAAATGCAGCAAGGTGGCGGCCTGTTTCTACACTTGCATGGGCCTGATGCGGACAGTGGGAGGGGTCAGAGGCGGGAGCGATGGCCACTTGCCGGAGGAGGCGATATCCACGCTGAACCACTGCCCTACGTACAGACAAATTCCGGGTGTCGGAACGGGAGCAGGATCCGCGCCAGCAAAGCGAGTGCCCGTTCTGTTCTCCACCAATCGAGGACTCTATCTGCGCCTGGCCCAGCCATTGGGCGATCAGATGGAGGTGCTGACACTTCAGCCACGCGGACAGAACTACAGCATCAGCTTCTGCGATTTGGAACGCTGGGTGAGTCCGGTTTGGCAGTCTGTAAGCCATGTCCGTACATCGCTAATCGTTTCCTCGCAGAGTACCAATCGGGCCAATGTGGTCAGTCTGGAGGACACCTTCACCATTATTCAGCAGCGCAACATGTCGCCGGAAACACACAACTATCAAACACGCCTGTGGAAAAACAATGTCAGCTACAGCCTGATGCATTGAACTGAAAGCACCTCAAGTCACGAATCCTTAAAATAGTAGATCGATGAGCATACAACATGAATGTAGAACTAATTAAAACTCTTTATACTTTAAATAATCCCTAATACAGAGTTCTTAATCGATTTATAACCTAATGGAGAGGGGTTAGGGCGAGTTCATGACGAGTTGCTGGTCAGTGAAGCCATTAGAAATTCCATTTTGTTGAGGAAGCTCTTGCCCTCGATTTTGTCGAATCTCACCTGGAAGGAAAGAAAATATAAAATTTATTCAGATCTGGTTTAGTTATTAAGGAAGGACCCACCTCTTTAAAATTGCCACCCAGATTCTCCCACAGTTTCTCCGGTACCAGGGGACTGGGAAAGAAGTCCTGCCTAGGGCTTCTCGCTATATAGACCTTAACATCGATCTGGGGATCGCAGCGGATTTGAACGGCGATCATGCGATCGCTATTTGGAGAGGCCAGCAGGCAGGAGCTGGCATTGCCCAATGGCTCTACTTTTCCGATGCCCAAGTGATTGCTGTTCGAGAGCACCGTCCAGGCCATGCAGCGGGCCAAACTGATGAGGCAGGATATCTGATGGGAGTTGATCTGGCAGAGGATCAGGTCGCGCAATTCTTGCGGTTCGTAGGACAGCCGCATAACGCGTCCATCTCTACAAATACACTTTAGAGAGCGCTCCTTAACATGGATCACCAGAGAGGTGCGCCCGATGGCGTCATATCCGTGCGTCACAATATTGATCTTCACACACGACATGGTGGGACTGTTCATGGCGTTCCAGTGCGACACAATTTGCGGGTCCTTCACATCCCTTGCCAGCGTGTCGAGGACGTACTGCGTCCGCTTGCGCATAAATATATGCTGCGCCTGTGCGATAATCTGCTCCAGTATGGTCTGCGACTTGGTCATGTCCAGCAGCGTCTCTCGATCCGCAGCCATTGGACCGGCCAACATGCGTTTCTTTGTGGGTCCCAGCGGAGCACTGGCCGGATGTGGAAATGGGTGATGCGAGTTCTTGTAGTGCACCTCACGCAACAACTGATGCAGCGAGTGCTCCAAAACATGGTCATGATCGTTGATTGGCGCCGGCTGGCTGGAGTCGAAGGTGGTAGAGTGGCACAGGGAGATAATCAATTGTATGTTGGGCAGCAGGGTGGCACGAATCTGATTACCAATGACCACATGTGGTATGGGTGCCTGCAGTTGGATGGCCTCGCGAGCCAACTGGGCAAAGAGCTCCTTGCAAAAGAGTACGTTCTGGGCGAACTCCAGGGTCTTTTGCCAAACACCAGTCTGTGCGGTTATATTGGGTCCATGGCCCATCAGGTTCACCTGGGCGGTGCACAAGTCCTCTTGGTCCTTCTGTGTGATCACCTTAATGTAGGCCACGCCCTGTAATTCCGCTGGGACAATCACCCGCAAAGCGGAGCTGGCTTTCAGTTGCATCCCGTTGTTGCCGGAGGTGCTGCTGCTGCTGTTGTTGGACGAACTGGGGGCGTCTTCATCCGCGGCCTCCTCCGCCTTGGTCACCTCAAAGGTACCGCTCATGCCAAACTTAGAGCCCGCAGTGCGGTAGCTTAGGTCCCCTATGATCGCATTTGACACCTTCTTTAGGCGCCAGTTCTGCCGCAGTCGCAGCAGTTCTATGTGGAAATCCGAGACATTCCGACTTCGTTGTTCACTGTGGGCATTCCGCAGCCGTTCAGCTCCACCCAAGAGGACCTGGGCCGCCTGCGAGATGGCCTTCTTGCGGCTGTAGACTTGGACAATTGGCTTGGTGTCGTCAGCTTCCTCTAGCAGGGGATCCAGAACCAGGTAACGCTTATCCTTGGCCACGGAGATCACATCGGACAGGACACAGATCTCTGTGAGGGCATCCTTAAGCTTGTTCCGCACCGCGTCCCACGGCCACAGGCTCTCCTGGAACTGAGTGGCGTCCTTGTCGTCTTCCGAGGCCGCCGCCGCCGTCTTCTCCTCCTTCTTCAGGTCGTCCAGCGATGTCTTGCTGAAGTCTATGCGAGCCGCACATTTTGCCAAACTTTCGGATAATGTCGGAGGCCTAAAAGCACAAACCAATAACTTTTGGAATAAGGGGCTTGCTGCCTACTAAGAACACTTACGGTTGATAAAGCTCGGTGCCATCGTAGCCAATCTCACGAATCTGGTTCTCGCAAGTCGTTTCCACTGATATATTTACGGAATTTGACATTTTAAAGCAGGAAAACAAAACATTTGCAACCAACGCAAACCAAGAGGTAGTGTTGGTCAACGTCTGCAGCCGGCTATCGATAGCGCAATCCGATATATTTGTTTAGACTAGTGCAAAAGAAAAATCAAATTTAGTAATTATAGTACTAGGCAAACATCGGTTATTATTATTTTAGGACTTTAAAAATTAAAAAAAAAAATTAAGTTTAATTGAAAGGGAAAATGAGGTTATTTAAAACAGCATGTCATTTCAAAACTTTTTCAGATTAAAGTTAGTTTTATTTTTTGAGAAAAATTTATGAGACAATTAAAGTTATTATTATTTTTTTGTATGAAGCATAACATTTTTTAAAGCAGCTTGGCTACGCTCATGTATTCATATATCCTTTACTTAAAAAGTCGGCCGACTGCAAAAGTTTCTTCTACTAAAATTCCCATATAAAATTGATAAAAGTAAGATTTGCTTGAGTTTTACTTTTGGCTGTTTTTATCTCTCCCCACTGTGCCTCTGGGCAGTGCTGCCACCTGTCATCAATCGGACAAGCACAGAGCAGACCGCGCCACTTTACAACACTAAATCATTACTTTCATATTTTTGACTTGACTTCCCCGACTTATTTCGGTTTCCAATCCCAATCCTCCTAGTTATGTTGTTCCTAAAGGACAAGCTCTCCAAACTGCATTTGGCAGAGCACACGGTGATCATACCGAGCATCTGCGTGGGAAATGCGGCGCAGCTGGCTTGCGACCTGTTGATCGCCTCAAAGCAACTCCGCCGGATAGGGTCCCTGACCCATCCGGCCCTGATTCCAGTGTACGGACCCTCTGCCTACCAGCACGAGCCCAACGAGAAGGTCTCTTCCTGCGAGCTGTACGAGGGCTCTGAGGACAAACTTCTGGTGGTCCAGTTTCGAGCTCCATGGGTCGCCCGCCACACAGCCAGTTTCCAGAGGGAACTGGTGGAGCTGCTCAAGGGCGCCCGCCGTGTGGTCATTCTAAGTGGCAGCTTCGGCTTCGAGAAACGTGTGATTGAGGAGTCGCCGTGGGCTTACCGCGCCAGCGACAACTTTAAGGAGGCTCATGCCGCCCAACTGGGAAACCAGGAGCTGATCAAGTGGAAGGAACACAAGGGTGAGGCCATCTATGGCGGCGGCAATGCGCTCCAGCTCTTTAAGTCTTTTGACGAGCAGAAGGTGCCCGTAATGCTGCTCTTCCGATATCTGCTCGAGGGCGACAACTCCACGGACGCTTCTCTGATTGTCAGAGAATTGAACGAGCTTTGCGAGGATTTCCTCCAGCTGCGCAATGGCGGCGACGGTAGTTTTAAGCTCACGGTGCCCAAGTCCTGGAACCTGCTTTTCGGCAACGATGTAACGGAACTACTGTTTTAAGCGTCTATATATATTTCATGATGGTTTCAAATAAATGTTAATCTTTTGGTGTAGGATAAAAGAGATTGCTAGCCCTGTGCTCCCGGAAAAACTCGCTGCCGTGCTCCTGGTGATCCTGACGCGTGGTCAGCGACTGGCCGAAGTTAGGCTCTTCCGCATGCACACATGCGCCCAGCCAGGCGCTTAGAGTGGGTTCGTCCGACTCGTAGATTGAAAACTTTGACTGGAACGGACGCATCTCCAGCATCTCCTTGGCCAGGCGATCTTTGAGGCCCCTAAACTGGGCACACCCACCGGTCAGGTAGACGTGCTCCACCAGGCGCTGCTGCTCCTCGGTGGTAAAGAGCTTTAGCACGAACGCTATTAGTTCCGATAGACCCGCCTCCGGGCAGCCAATCATGCTGGGCTGGAATAGGATCTCCGGCACGCGGATGTCCTCCACGCCAAAGTGCAGCTGGTAGTTCTCGGCGGCACTCTGGGCCTGGGCATTGGAGTTGCCATCATCGAAGTTGGCGTCATAGTGATTTAGGATCTTCTCGAACTCCAACAACTGCTCGTTATCCGCATCGGAATCGCTGTCATCGTTGTAGCGATTTATCCGTTTGTACACGTCCCAGTCGTTGTCGTTCATCCCAAAGCCATCATCCTCCTCCTCGCCGTTGGCCTTGCGCCGCTTCTCGCTCTTGGCCAGCGACGAGATGATGCGCATCCGCTGCTGGGCGGCATGAGTATGACGCTTGGCCTGTTCGGATCGTTGCTGTTGGCGGGCCTGCTTACGTCCGAGTAGTTCCTGTCGCTTGCCATGTAGCTCGGCCAGCCAGTCCGCCTGGGACACGCCCTCTGGGGGCTTTGGCATCTTGTCCAGCTTCTCCTGTTGCTTGCTGGGACGCGGAGCACTCTGTGCCCTGTCCTGGGCACGTTTGATGCGCAAGTTTATGGTAGCAATAAGGGAATCCAAGTCCTCCAGCGTACCGATCTGTTGCTGCTGCAGGGCACGCTCAAACTTCTCCAGCTTCTGCTGCTCATACAGTTGCCGCAGCTTGTTGTAGACAAACAACTGCTGCTCATCCTCTCGCAACTTTTCACGTTCGCGACGGTTCTTGATTTCCAGCAGTCGGTGGGCCAGCTCCCTGCGTTTCTCTTGCTTTTGTTCGGCAGTGAGCAGAGCATTGGTTGCGGTTACCGCATTGTACGGCAGCTGGATCTTCATGATGTGCTCTTCGTAGTAGTCCATCTGGGCCCACTTAACCAGCTCTTCCCTGTAGTCAACGGCAATGTGACAGTGCTCATGGACCAGTTTCTCCATTCGACTGATGGTAATGGCATTCAGATGCACGGGATACTTCATTTGCATGAGCCGGAAAAGATAGGTTATGATGTGATAGCCACCTACATTCAGACGACGCACGTGCTCCATCTGCAACTTGCCTCCGAGCACGGGAATCACATGAGTCGTGCTATAGCCAAAGGAAATGATCAGAGCATCTGCTATCTGGGGATGGATAACTTGGTATATAAACATGTTAATTATCAGTTAAATCTATAGACAACCTTCTGCCGCTTCTGCTGATAGTGTTCCCAGCTGTACAGAGCATCAATTCCATAGGATACAGACGGGATACCGTAACACTCGAAGAGCAGTTCGCTCATCTGCTGGCGGCAAAAGTTCGGATTGGCCAGGGCCTCTGTAAGGATAATCGGATGATCGATCTTATCCTGCCCCTCAAAACCCATCTTTGTGAATATGTAGTCGAAGATCTGCTCCTGATGATTCCAGTTGGTTATCACGTTCCGCTCGAAGGGGCTCTTCAGATGGGCGCGTACCGCCTCGATGTTGGTGATGTCGTTGCCCACCTGGATTTCGGCAGGTGCCTCTACAGCTGCCGGTTGTGAGCCTTCGGAGGAGCCCTGTTGCAAAGCCTCCTTCTTGCGATCCTTGCGCGGCTTGGTCAGCACATTGCGGAAACGCAAGTCTGGTTCCCTGGAGTCGCTCCAGCCCACGCGGCACTCGTAGGATCCGTTGTCGATCACCAGGACACGTCTATCCACCATTTCAATGAATTATTTTATTAGTTTTTCGGCGGCAAACACTTCGTTTCGCCTCACACAATGATTCGTAAACAAACGCGCAAATCCAGTGTTGTACAATGCCTTAGCCCTACTGTCAAGTCAAAGCGGTTGAGTTCTACCTCTATCGAATTTGTTTTTATACGGCAGCTTGGTAATAAATTGGACATACAAGTTTTTTCTATATAAAACTAATTTTGTAAAAACTTAAAATTGAGATACCTCGAAACGTAACAATGTTTGTAGCAGTCATAAAGGTTGATTCTGAGGAAGTCCAGAGCCAGGTATGTATGTAAGTCTTTTAAGGATTTTTATCATGTGCAACAATTCTGTCTTACCTGTTGGCGGTCCGTATTTGTAACTATATTATGGTTATCTTGTAATTGGTTGGACAACAGAATAGTGTTTTTTTGCAAGAGTGAAAACTTGATATATGTACATATTTTTATTTTAGATCCAAAGGTTTTCAGTTGGTACCAATAAATTACTTAATTTCATTTCTATATAAAAAGCGGTAATTTTCCGTTTTCTTTCTATTAAAGATTCGTAAACAAATACGTCAAACCCAGTGTTTTAAAATGCCGGCCTTACTGTAAAAACTATTAGCTTTTGTTTTACGGTTAAGGAAAGCACATAAACGCGTTGAAGCTGTAAAACGTTTTACGTTTAAATTATCATTTTATTAAAAGGCTTTAGTTTTTGCATAGAACAAAATGTTTGTCAAGGTGAAATTGGATTTTGAGGAATACTCGTGCCAGGTATGAGTCTGTTACAGAAAAATTACTCTTCGTATTTTAGCAAAAAATTGTCTTCGTAAAATTTTAAGCCGTTCTTATGTATTTGAGTACATACATAGTTATATTCGTATATTCCAGACTTAAGTATTGGTTGTCTATTTCCTTTTTTTAAATACTTAAAACTTTGTAATTTTTATATTCTGCAGAAGCCCGAAATGTTTGAAATCGAAGAAACTGCTAAGGTTTTAGATTTAAAACAGCAACTTGGGGTTTTGGTCGGGCTTCCTGTAAGCCGTCTTGAGATCAAAACCATCTCCAGGAATCTTGATAACGAGGAAGATCTTTCCAAATTGTTGAGAGCCAAGGAGCCACAAGATTCGGCGGTAAAAATTAACGGATCAGCGTTTTCCCTCCTGAACGGCAACGCGTTCATAGCTTTTCTGCAGTTCTACAATCGCGCCGAGGGAGACAGCCAGTTAAATTTCCTGAACAGGCCACAGGATTCGATGTTATTACCAGTCGACCGTCTGCCACAGTTCTGTGAATTATCGGACTCTCAGGATTCGACAATATCTAGTGCATCGGACAAGACTAACACAAGTTTTGCATCGGCCAGTACGAGCTCAAGTTCAGCGGGACGTAAGAGGGAAGCCAAACGTTCAGATGAAGAATCGAAAAGGTATGTTCTGTTTATCTGAAATATATTGAAATACAGTGTATTCAATTTACATTGTTAACCGAACCGCTTCATAATTTAAGCTTGGGTAAAAAAATATATTTTAAATCTTCATTTCTTTACGTAAAATGGCTTTAGCTAGGGCGTCTTTAATCCAAAGATAGAAAAAGAATAACGAGTTTGCTTAAAATTGTCAATACTTTTATTAATTGTATCTACAGGATAAGGAGCTCACCGTCTCCTAATGTGGTCAAAGTAGTTGCGCAAACCAGTAATCCGGATGGAAAGGTATCTGCCATTTTAGGTTCGAAGCTTCATACGTTCGCTAGGTGCAAAAAAGAACCTTCCACTACTACAGAAGAGGATGATTTAGATTGCGACGATGAGGAAAATCCTGAATGCAGGATCAAGAAGAAAAACTGCTGCAGTCGGTCGAATTGCGAGAGGGCAGATACCCGGCCGCCTTACGCGCGCACCAAGCCGGAAAACCGTCGATACGGTGTGGTAATCAGCAACGATGATAAAAGCGCCGAAAGCGTGGACCACGATGCTCTGATGCAACATTTCTTCAAACTGTTCGAACACTGTGGTGTGAAGGACCTGCGCTTCAGTGATTGCACATCAGTGTCGAAGTTTTGTGCGAACCTTTTGATCGTTTGCGAAGATGACGATACTGTCGACTGGGTCATTGGTGCTGTTGAAGGCGTCTGCCCGCCACATACGTGCGTTCCTTTTATCAAGTTCTTTTCTCTGAAAAGGTGTACGTTTGTCCTTCCGTTGCTCGTTCCTGGCAAGCCCTTGAGTTCGATATTTAATTTGCTAGAGTTGCAGAACTGCAGCCTTGTCACACACAAATGGACCGTAGTCGGGCGTACTCTTCTCGATCCCTGCCAGGAGGATTACAACGAAATGGCAGTGTCCGCGTTGTGCGATAATGAACTTATTGAACTTTATATCGACGAGGAGAGCAAGGAAATTATAGAAAACCAATGCTACAAACTAAAGTACTGTTTTTGGCGTCTTAAGTTTGAGTTTGAACGTTAGTTCTTTCGGAATTAGTAGTCTCCTTTCGAAAAACTTTAAAATCGGTGCGATTCGTCCCTAAGTGAAAACAAAATTTTAAAACATTGTTCAAAATTTATATGTATAAGAGTAATTATTTGAAAAAGTCCGTGTGAATTGCGCAATTCTGGAGCCAATTGTAAATAAAAATCATTTGCAAGTAAATTAAAATTTTTTTGGAGTAATATCAAATTCGTCAAGAGTGCTTTTTTAAATGGATTGTAATATTTTGCGATACAGATTTTCAACTTAACGGAACTCAAACAAAATATTTTTTCCCAAAACATTGATAGATACATATGTATAATCCAAATGTTGGCTTTAACACAAGATCTGTTTCAAAGGTCAAAATTGTTTATAATTTATGAATAAATAATGCTGGTAAGTCAAAAATAAATTTAATAATTTTTGGATCCTTACGGATTTTGCGGTTGGAAAGGTAGTTTAACCCTTTTTATGCCTCGATGCATATTTTCAACATACCGTTAAAATCCTCATTACATAATAAAAGTTTAAAAAATCTAAAAAGAGAAAAACAAACGAGTTGTATAATTTAATTTTTTGTATATTATACAAAAAAAAAAAAGAAATCGTTAACACCAATGCTTATGTCATGTAAAGGGTTAATCTTTGTGTGGTAAAAGCGCGCGAAAATGGTAAAACGAAGTGACCGTATGCACTTTTTGGCGGTATAAAGTAAGACTGCATGCAACGGTCACACTTGCAGAACCAGTGCCACAGGCAGCAGCGAAGAAAACCACCACCCGAGGATTAACGGATAGGAGCCTGCCTTTCGGCAGCAGCAGCAGCAGCCACTTCACATGGAAGCCATCGACATAGTGCGCCTGGAGGAGGCCGTCGTCTCCTTCTACCGCTCCAACTCGCAGAACCAGGCGATCACCCACGAATGGCTCACGGACGCGGAGGCCAGTCCGCAGGCCTGGCAGTTTTCCTGGCAGCTAATGCAGCTCGGCAAGGTGAGTACCCCGCAGGACCTGCGCATCAATGCATCAATTGCCGGATATGTATACTCATGCACCTACCTCTACCTCCCACCCTTGCATACCATGCATTCCATGCAACCCGTGCAATCACCCACCAACCAATACCAACCCATCCGCCCTCACAGAGCCAGGAGGTGCAGTTCTTCGGCGCCATCACCCTGCACTCCAAGCTAATGAAGCACTGGCACGAGGTGCCGCCCGAGAATCGCGAGGAGCTGAAGCAGAAGATCCTCGAGTCCATCGTCCGCTTCGCCGGCGGGCCAAAGATCGTCCTGAATCGACTGTGCATCTCGCTGGGCGCCTACATAGTCCACATGCTCGGCGATTGGCCCGGCGCCATTGAGGAGGTGATCAACACGTTCCAGAACCAGCGTATGCCCAATGTCAGCGCCGATGTCCAGCTGTGGATCATGTTGGAGGTGCTGACGGCCATTCCCGAGGAGGCCCAGGTCATCCATACCTCCGTCAAGCGGGTGACGCTGCGTGCCGAGATCGCCAAGCGGGTGCCACTGGTCCTCCAGACCGTCGAGCGGTACCTAAAGCTTCAGATGAACCGCGTCTGGGACGCCGAGACCTACAGCAGCATGAACAGGGCCGTCAAGTGCGTGGGCACCTGGATCAAGTAAGTGGCAACCAGTTGGCTTTCTGGGCAGATAGTAGAATAATATTGATTATCAGCACTATGGGTAATCTGTCTAACCGTAAACAGACAGCTATTGGTAATAAGTATTCCTAGAATAATGTTTGACGATTAAATCGGGACAGATAGTGTCCAGTAACTTAAAAACATCCTTTTAAATGTACTTTATACGTAATCATTCCCAGTAATATTTTGATATAGATATTGTTTTAAAAAATGTTCTAATTGTTTCCCGGTATCTCCTGCAGAAACATTGGCTATACAATTGAGGGCTGCGTTACCATTACGGCCGTGCTCCTGGAAGTGGTCCACAAGTGCTACTGGCCCTGCATTCACGCCGGCGATGGTTGCATGACTGCCGATGAGAACGAGCTGGCCGAGTCGTGTCTGAAGGCGATGGTGAACATTATCATCCAGCCGGACTGCCACAACTACCCAAAGACGGCGTTTGTCCTAATAAAGATGTTTCTCGACTCGTTGTCTGACATTACGAAGACGGAGTGGAAGCGGGAGAACGACAATGAGGACATAATCGTGCACATCTACATGCTGTTTGTGTCATCCGTGGAGCGACACTCGACGCTGCTGCTGAGCGGGATCACATCCTCGGACCCGGAACTATCCGTACTGGTACATCGCATCGTGCAGGAGATTCTGCACTGCACCGACAAGCCGGGCATCTATCCCGTGGAGGAGTCCTGCAGCACCATGGCCCTGGCATTTTGGTACATGCTGCAGGACGAGGTGTTTGCAATGCAGAACGATGAGCAAAAGCACAAGTGCTGGGAGTATATCAAACCGTTGTACGCCCATCTCACCAGGATTCTGGTGCGGAAGTCGGAACAGCCAGACGAAAAATCATTGGCCAAATGGAGCTCGGACGATTTAGAGTGCTTTAGATGCTATAGGCAGGATATATCCGATACCTTTGTAAGTGGTTATTGCTCTTTTCAAAACCAAC